GCACGAGCTACCATGCCCAGCCTATTTTTAATCCATTTTAATGTTTGTAATGTAATTGAATTATCCCACCTCTGGTTTGCTTGAAACACTTCCGTGTTACTTCTATCAGTGATTTTTTTTTTTTTTTCTGGTTTCCTCTCCCTCCCCAGTTATATTTTTCTATATGGGCAGTGTTTCTTTCTTAACCACCTTCCCTAACTTCTGGCAATTATTTGGAAAACATAGCATTTACTGACTTTGCCACAGTTATATGCCTCTGCTCCTACCCCTGACACTTTGGAATGTACTCCGGGGTTCCTGTCCCAATTTATGGCAATAAAGAAATTGCTTTTGTTATTACATTCTATAGCCCTCCTTTCAAGATTTATAACATTTGTATACCATTTTGTTGCTCTGATTATTTACGTTAATTGAATGTTTTTGTTTTTTTGTTTGTTTGTTTGTTTGTTTTGAGACGGAGTCTCGCTCTGTCACCCAGGCTGGAGTGCAGTGGCCAGATCTCAGCTCAGTGCAAGCTCTACTTCCCGGGTTTACGCCATTCTCCTGCCTCAGCCTCCCGAGTAGCTGGGACTACAGGCGCCTGCCACCGCACCCGGCTAGTTTTTTGTATTTTTAGTAGAGACGGGGTTTCACCATGTTAGCCAGGATGGTCTCGATCTCCTGACCTCGTGATCCGCCCGTCTTGGCCTCCCAAAGTGCAGGGATTACAGGCTTGAGCCACCGTGCCCGGCCAATTGAATGTTTTAAGTAAATGACTTAGCACAAGGCATCTTCTCCCAGGACATCCCAGCTTGTGAGTCATTTATCTGAATTCGTCTCTTGGTTGTCGGGACCATGTCTTCCAGTGGCTTTCCAGGAAGGACCGTGAATGTCAAAGTATAACTCAGAAATATTTCGTTAGCTGGGTAACTAATTCACAAGCACACCAAGGAGACAGCCATTAGATTCTTACCAAGAGACAAAGACCTAAACGAACGAACAAACAAACAAACCAATGGGAGGACTGATAAAGAAGAAAAAGGTGCCAACCTAGACAGGGTGATTTTTCTAATGATTAGCTGGAGGTTATCAAAGAGGCTAGTCTGGGCGATCTATGCTGGAAGAGATTGAAGAGGTCACTAGAGAAAAAAAAAAAAGTCAGTTATCTGTGGATTTTGCAAGATGTCTTTTGAGTTAAGCTGTGCGATACACGTGGCAGGCTGTCCCTACAGGGCGTCTGCCAGTATGGCCTGGCGTCTCCACCTGACAGGCCAGCATCACTCCATTTCTCTTGGCAGAATGTGACTGCAGGTTTGAGAATATCTTTCTGTTGCCATCACAGTTTACAGAATTTTCCAGTCTTAACATTTGCCATTTAAAATTCTACAGATATTGTTCCGTTGTTTTCTGGCAGATGAGTTGCTAGGAAAAATCTGTCAGCCACTTAATTTTTTTCTTTTGAATTTTGCCTAAATCAAAATTCATTTTTTTAATCCTCAGAGAAAATATTTTTACCGTAATCTGGATCAACCTTTTATTTATATGTTTATTTTCTAGAACACCATTTTAATCTGTAGAGTCACATTTTCTTTTGTTTTAATAAAATATTGTTGCATTTACATTGTGTGTGTGTGTGTGTGTCTGTGTGAGAGACAGGGTCTCACACTGTCACCTAGGCTGGAGTACAGTGGCACAACCACAGCTCACTGCAGCCTCAACATCCCAGGCAAAAATGATCCTCCCACCTCAGCCTCCAAAGTAGCTGGGACTACAGGCATGCGCTACCATGCCTGGCGAATTATTATTATTATTATTATTTTTGAAACGGAGTCTTGCTCTGTTGTCCAGGCTCCAGTGCAGTGGTGTGATGATCTCGGCTCACTGCAAGCTCCGCCTCCTGGGTTCATGCCATTCTCCTGCCTCAGCCTCCTGAGTAGCTGCGACTACAGGCGCCCACCACCACGCCCTGCTAATTTTTTTGTATTTTTAGTAGAGGCGGGGTTTCACTGTGTTAGACAGGATCATCTTGATCTCCTGACCTTGTGATTCGCCGTTTGCAACCCCATGTGCCCTGGATTCAATCCTTTCATAATCTTTCAATTATACTTCCAGTTTTGGGTAAAATTCTATAGCTCACACCCAGCCTGCTTCTCCCACTGATAGGGAACATCTAATTTATTTAACCCCTGACTTTGGTACCTGGCTATTGGCCACAGGATTAAGATAATCCTAGACTGGGCACGGTGGCTCATGCCTGTAATCCCAGCACTTTAGGAGGCCGAGGTGGGCAGATCACCTGAGGCCAGGAGTTCGAGACCAGCCTGGCCAACATAGCGAAACCCCATCTCTACTAAAAGTACAAAATTTAGCCGGGCATGGTTGCACATGCCTGTAGTCCCAGCTACTCGGGAGGCTGAGGCAGGAGAATTGCTTGAACCCAGGAGGGTGCAGTGAGCCGAGACTGTGCCACTGCACTCCAGCCTGGATGACAGAGTGAGACTGCCTCAAAAAAAAAAAAAAAAAGACAATTGTAATGACATGCTAAAGTTGGAGAGTCTTCACCTTGGGGTGTTGAAAAGCAGGGGATTGACAGGCTAGATCTGGGTTTGAATTCCAACTCTCTGGGTCTCCTTTGGCTAAACCTCGATTTATCCCCATACCATATGGGTAACAGTTTTCATCTGAGAGGGCTGCTACAAAGTTTAAAGTGCAATTTGTATGGCAAGCTTTATGTCAATAAGTAGCAAGTATCTTGATTTTTGTAAGCGTTTACTCCATATCACCGGTTTTCAACATTGTTGACTCTAGTTTTTGTGGTTTGATGATGAACATGATTGCCTCTTTCACGTCTTTCCATAGCTCTGACAGTTCCCTTTCATCTCAATTCATAGCTTACCCCATTTGAACATGGCGAAATCAGGCAGTGCTTTTGACCTCCCTCGAAGAGTGTGAAGCAGTTATTAACGAAAATTCTGTTCTCAAGAGGTCTTCCAAAAATATTCCTTTATCCAGGGGTACATTGTCCTTGCTCTGGTTTCTCCTTTCTCTCTCCTCTTTCTGTTCTTTCTCTTCTTTCTTCTTCTTCTTTCTTTCTTTCCTTTCTTTCTTTCTTTCTTTTCTTCTTCTTCCTTCCTTCCTTCTTCTTCTTCCTTCTCTCTTTCACCTTCCTTCCTTCTGGTCTGTCTTCTTTTCTCTCTCTCTCTTTCTTTCTTCTTCTTTCTTCTTTCTTTCTTTCTTTCTTTCTTTCTTTCTTTCTTTCTTCCTTTCTTTCTTTCTTCCTCTTTCTTTCGAAATTCTGCCCATCGTTTGTGCTGCTTTTGTTGCATTTATTCACCTTTGAATGGGGACCATTCTGCCTTACCTGCTGTTTGCCCCCAAAGGTGTGGGTGGCTGTGCTTTGACTCCCTTCCCTGTTTATCTAGGAATCTCTAGATAACCTCCACCCATGATGGAGACCTGGACACTGATATCTTTTTTCCTGTTTAACCTCTGAGTTGCCTAAAGAGGGTTTGGTAGAAACTAGAAACTAGATTCCTGGACAGCCTTCCCCGGGAGCTTGTTCCTACTGAGTCTGTCTCTGAATTTGTTGAACACCTCAATAGCATGACCCAGCTCTAAAGAGGTGGGGACATAGCTTGCTTCCTGGGTTTTGGGTTTCTTCCTCCATTTTGGGGAGGTACAGCCACTTTGTCAAAAAAGCTGGGCCTCTGTTTTCAGAGAAAACATGTGGTGCTAAGTGGACTTGCCTCTCAGCCTCACATGCCCAGTCCAGGGAACCTGGGCAGACAAAACAATGCCACGGTGTGGCCTGCTCCCACTTCCATTAAGCCAGCATGGAGTGTGGGTAGGGCTGGTGGAACCAGAATCCAAACGGGTGCCCCCTGCTCATCCTTTCTCCCCTGGAGTTGAATGCCCTCCAGTCTAGGCACGGGGGACCTGTCAGATCTCCCGAATCTCCTCTCACAACCATGCTCAGAAAGGAAATTCATGACTCAGCTCCCTGAGTTCTGTCTGCACTTCAGTTTTGTCTTTATTCTAGGCCCTTTTTTATTCTTCTTGCTGGGTATCTGAGAAGATAGGTTTTGTAAATATAATATAATTCCACTGTCGTTTTTAGAAATGCTTTGGAAAAATGTGAGACAGCAAAATGCATCTAATTTTTTCTCCATTTCTCCATCCCCAAGCCACTTCTCCCAGTCAGCTTTTTGAGGGACAGCCCTCCCTCCCCCATCCTGCCTGTACCTTATGTCAGAGCCCACTCAGACTGCCCCACCCCTGACCAAAACCTAGGTCTTAAGTGCCCTTAGGTGAGTGCTTCCAGATTCAGAGTGACCAAGGGATTGCATTTTCATTATTTTCAGGGAACAGAACGATTTCAACCCTGGTCTCCTAGATTATAATCATCCATCCCACAGGCTGTCTGATGGCAAGAATTTTTAGCCCCATTTAAGGTGGACGCTGGAATTATTTCTAGATGGAGCAAAGTAGCACAAGTTGCTGAGCTGCAAATCACTGCGATAGTGACTGGCCAACCCAGTAACCCACAAGGCTAGCATGCCTTGTCAGTGCCACTGTGGTGTGAATTAGACTTTTTTACAGGTGACATCAATGCGGGAGAAGGAAGGGCAATGATGGGCAAGAGTGCTGGAATATCTGATGCTCAGAAACTTCCTTCCTCTTTATTCCTCTGTTAGGTCCCTGGGGAGGGGAACAATGAATGGGAAACTCTAGCACCGCCGCTAGCTAGCATATAGCACTATTAGGTTGGTGCAAAAGTAATTGCAGTTTTTTACTTAATGGTAAAACCACAATTACTTTTGCACCAACCTATTAGTAGCTGAACAAAAGTGTTTGTTGAACTTAATTGATCCTGGAAGACTGTGCCAACATTGAGGACAAAAAGAAAAAAGCCCATCTTGGAATCAGATCCATCTTTGCTCAAAGTAAGACTCTGGAATGTACTATCTGTGCAACTTGGGGCAAGTTATTTCACCTTTCTGGGTCTTGGTTTTGCCACGAATATGAAAGCTAGTCGTGTCCCTCTAGGAGAAGCGGTTCGTGTTAGTGGCAGGTGCGCCCCCTCCCAATAGGTGACAAGAACACGCCCTCTCCCGTTTCTGCGTTACCTCCCCCAGGCCGCGCGATGGCGCTGCGTCTCCGCAGCGGCCCGGGCCTCTCTGGGGCGCTCGGGCGCGCTGGCCCCTGGGGACGCCGAGGGCGGCTGCGAAGCGCAGAGAAGCCGTGGTGAGTGCGGCGGCACTAGGGGGTGATCTTCCCGGCCCCCGGGCTCCCGGGTGGGAAGGGGCAGCTGGGCTGCGCGGAGCAGGCCCTCGTGAGCCCCGGGAAGGAACGCAGCGCAGGGTGTGGGGTCACCCTCAGCATCCGACCGCAGGCGGGGACGAGAGCCTTGGGCAGCAGCCGGGAGACCCCTCCCGTGACCGCTGACTTGCCGGGGATCCCTGGCATCACTTCCCCGCCGCCGAGACTTGGACCAGAGGGTTTCTAAGGCCCTTTCGGTGCCGGCGTTGCAGGGTCGCGGGTGATCCCGGGGTCTGTGCTCTGATCCCCGGCCCTGCCCGTCTCTCTTACAGGCTCTCCCACCTGTCACCCTGGCCCTTCTCTGCTTGGACGGTGTCTTCCTCTCCTCAGCTGAGAATGACTTCGTCCACCGGATCCAGGAGGAACTGGACCGCTTTCTGCTGCAGAAGCAGCTGTCAAAGTAGGCTCGTGGGAGGGGCGAGGGTGCCTCCTTGCTGGGAAGGGTAGTGTTCCCGAGCCGCCTGTGTGCCCTCCCCCAGGTGGTGCCTGGCAGCTGGCTCTGACCTTGGCCTTTAGTCTTCATAACGCCAGCTGCCTCTTCCAGCTGCATCTTTGTAATTCTGAGCATCACCCCGAGACTGAAGGGTCCCCGCACAGGGAGGCGGATGGGACCTGTGGGTCCCTGCGGTCACCTCTGTCTATGCTCAGATCCTTTGCAGTCCACCTGGGACCCAGGGGGCGGAAGGGAGGCCAGCGTTAATCCGCGATTAACCTGGGAGTGGACCTGGTAGGGGTCAGGCCCTGGACACCTGCTCAGCGCTTCTTCCCCTCCCTCCCCAGGGTTCTTCTTTTCCCCCCACTCTCCAGTCGCCTCCGGTACCTGATCCATAGAACAGCAGAGAATTTTGATCTCTTGAGCAGCTTCTCCGTTGGGGAGGGCTGGAAGAGGAGGACGGTCATCTGTCACCAGGACATCAGGTGTGTAGCCTCCCACCTTGGAATGCCTGCAGCAGTGGTGTGTGGGCGGCCAGCCAGCTGGTCAGCCTTTGGAAGGGCAGGGCTGGGTGGAACCAGGGCTGGGACCCCAGGGCTGCTGCCATTCCTAGCCGCAGCCGCTTAACCAGGGCTGCCTTTTGCATCAACAGTGGAGCAGATATGCAGTTTGTGGAATTCACTTGGCAAAATCACCTATGTGGTTGGGCCAAAAGAGAGAGAGATCTGTTTAAGTAGTGGGTGTGGTGGGGGGTCTCCCTAGCATTCCTCTCAGTGAGCTTGTGCCCCACAGAGACCAGAAAAGCCCCTGCTGGGCTTGGGTCCCCTCTGTTCCCGTGTGCATCTCACAGTGAGCATCTTACTTTAATGACTGTGATCCTAGTGTTTGAAGTGACATGTTTTTCTGATAGCCTAATTCTTAAATGCAAAAGCTTACCTGCCTGGTGTGTAATTGAAGATGGACTAATCTCTAATTTTGATCACAGCACTAGAGGGGCGAGCTGGCTGCTCTGGGCTTGTTCAAAAGTGACAGCCTCCACTGTGATGCCTTCCTAAGGGATTTTCGAGGGTCATTTTGGCTGTGGTTTTCGGCTAATGCTGACCTGAATGTCACTCCTGAATGACAAGTGGCTCTAGTAAATCGTTTTCCTTTGGGCCCCTATATACTCTGATTACCTCCTCCCATTCCTGCTCCAGGGTACCCAGTTCAGATGGCCTCTCTGGCCCCTGCCGCCCTCCTGCCTCCTACCCCAGCAAGTACCATGGTCCTCGGCCCACCTCCAACCAAGGAGCAGCTGCTCCCCGAGGTGCCCGGGCTGGCCGGTGGTATCGTGGACGCAAGCCAGACCAGCCTTTGTATGTGCCCCGGGTGCTGCGCAGGCAGGAAGAATGGGGGCTGACCTCTACCTCGGGGCTCAAGGGAGAGGCCCCAGCTGGCAGGGATCCAGAAGAACCTGGAGATGTTGGTGCTGGAGACCCCAACTCTGATCAGGGACTCCCTGTGCTGATGACTCGGGGAACAGAGGACCTAAAGAGCCCAGGACAAAGGTGTGAGAATGAGCCGCTGCCGGACCCTGTTGGCCCTGAGCCCCCGGGGCCTGAGAGTCAGTCAGGGAAGGGAGACAGGGTGGAGACGGCCACACGGTTTGGGTCCACCCTGCAGCTAGACCTGGAAGAGGGGAAGGAGAGTCCGCTGGAGAAGAGGCTCGTGGCAGAGGAGGAAGAGGACGAAGAGGAGGTGGAAGAGGACGGCCCCAGCAGCTGCTCGGAAGACGATTACACTGAGCTGCTGCAGGAGGTGATGAGGCTCTTGAGCCCAGAAAGGGAGGGCGGGGGTGAGGTGGGTGTGGCCGTGGGTAGGGCTGGGTGTTGGGTGACAGGGATTCCTTAGGGAACACAGGAGAGGAGGTGTGGATTTGGGTCCCAGCCCAGCCATGTAGGAGCTGCTTGACCCTGGGCAAGTTATTTTGTGTTGCTGAGTCTCAGTTTCCTCATCTGAAACTAAAACCAGATAACACAGCCTTCACTAGGCCACGGACTCTGTGTACAAGTACATCGTCATGTGTTATGGATGCCAGTCATGGAAATTACTCTTTAGCCTGAAGTTCTATCTTACAAATCTTGTTTCCTGGGGACCGTGTGACTGCCCCTGAGACTGGCTGTGGGTTCGGTTGGGAGAGTAGAATCTTTTATGGCTATTTTATACATGAAGAATGCAGACCACAGACCTGCCAGATATCACAGCGCTGGCAGGGAAAGGAAGGGTCTTGGACTTGCCCAGTTCTGCCTCTTAACTGACTTTGCAACTTTGGGAAAAATTACTTAACTCTTGGGCCTTCAGTTTCCCCATCTGTAAAGCAGCTTTCTAGAATATAGTTTTCAGGATTCTATGGAACGTTGTGTGTGTAATTGCCAGTCACTTAGTGGGGACTCCATACAACTAAATGCCCTCCCGTAAAACCCACGCTTCTTGACCTTCCAGCCCAGCCTGCCCGCTGCTGCCCTTCCCAGACTTTTGCTATGAGGGCCCCTTCTCCCCGCAGAGCTCTCAGCGCACGGGCTAGTGGTTTGGAGCTCTGCGTGTCCAGGCTCCCCTTGCTAAAGGGTCCTATCTCTCCTAGATCACAGACAACCTGACGAAGAAGGAGATTCAGATAGAGAAGATCCACTTGGACACGTCCTCCTTCGTGGAGGAACTGCCTGGAGAGAAGGACCTTGCCCACGTGGTAGAGATCTATGACTTTGAACCGGCGCTCAAGACGGAGGACCTGCTGGCAACGTTTTCTGAGTTCCAGTGAGTGGTGGCTGGGGAGGTGCTGCCTTCAGAGAGAAGCTAGGACACACTTTGTAGCTGGGGGTGCTTGCCTGCCCCACCCCCAGTGCCTAATGCTTCAGCAAGAGAGACAGAAAGTGGGTGTGTTGCCTGGGTTCTGTATTCCTGGGCAGTTCACCCTGCCAGCCATCCTCGGGGAAAGAGAGCACTGATTTGTTGGTCGTAGATACACCCTGGAGGCCCTAGACCTGGGCTAGCCCCTCTGCCTGGCCACATGCCTGCCAGGACCCCACGCACCCTCCCTCAGTCTTGAGGGACATGACAGCCCCCTCTCTTCCCCTTGCCCACCTCCCAGCGGCTGCTCAGTGGGTCTCCAGCAGGCTACAGGCCAGCTCCATGTGGCAACTGTTTCTGGGGTACACTGAGCAGCCTGCTGGGGCAGAGTGGAGGTCGGGATGGTGGCCAGAGTCTGCATTGAGAGACACGACTTCCCTTCTCCTCAGCTTCCCCACATGCCTTTAGATCGACCCTCCTGTCTTTCCTTCTTTTTTCTTTTCCTTTTTCTTCTCATTTTGCCTTCTCCCCTTCCCCTTCTTTGTTCCAGCTCAGGCTTGCTTTCTCTTCTTTTTTTTTTGAGACAGGATCTTGCTCTTTTGCCCAGGCGGGAGTGCAGTGGTGCGATCACAGCTTGCTGCAGCCTCAACCTCCTGGGCTCAAGTGATCCTCCCACCTTGGCCTCCCAAGTAGCTGGGACTACAGGCATGCACCACCGTGCCCAGCTCTGCTTAGGCTTTTAGAAACCCCTTTCTGTGTGGCCCTCGTTAACCCTGCTTCCTAAAGCCTTCTTCCCCTGTGCTCTGCCCCTGAGCAGAAGGAGAGCCAAAGGTGTGGCTAGGGGCAACATGTTCTACTCTTGTATTCTCTACCTTGATGGTGCAGCCAGGCTGGGGCCCCTGTGCCTTCCTCAGCCCGGGTAGGGCCACACTGCCTTAGGTCTCTCACAGGCTGCAGGGTAGGTGGCACCTTCCTGAGCAATAGGAAGAAAGCCAACAGGAGCATGGTGGCCCTGCTGGTTTGAGCTCCTGTTCCCCACCCCCACCACAGAAACCCTTTCTTCCCCAGCCTCAGACCCCGTGGCCTTGGCCTGGCTGAGACAAGCCTGTGAGGAGTCTCTTCTTCCTTCGCGTCGTGCCATATGAGCTGTTTGAGTCCTGGCTTCTTTAGTTCTAGAAACTGGTGACCTGCCTGACATATTGACAGGAGTGGCATTTGTCTTTCTGAAGCCAACCATACGGGCTTCAGAGGAAGTTTGCTGCAAAGGGTTGTCTCCGTCCCCGAGGAGATGGGACCTTGCCTTGGGCTCGTGGCATCTGTGGGCTGGAGGCGAGGGGGCGCGGCTGCGGGATTTGAAGAGGAGTTTGACCGCTTGCTTTCCTGAATGTGCTGTCTCCTCTCTCCCCACACAGAGAGAAGGGGTTCAGGATTCAGTGGGTGGATGATACTCATGCACTCGGCATCTTTCCCTGCCTGGCCTCAGGTAAGGCACCCCCGGTGGGTCCGGCCCTCACTCGGATCCCCACTGAGAGGGAGGACTCTTGGTTCCCTGGGTGGAGGCCAGCATCTCCTGGGCGCAGGCTCAGCTGAGCCATTGGGCTCTTGGGGTTCTGTTTCCAGCCTAAAACCCAGGGGGAGCCGAGCGGTCTCTGGCCCATAGTAATGCGCCTTAATGAAGAAGCTTTTCCTATTGTGTTAGTGCTTTCAATGAAAAGGCATCAGATTCAGGCGACCTTTTCTGAGGAAGGTCACTGGCCAAGCCCAACAGAGGTCCCTGTATTAAATGAAACCACAGGAAAGTGCTGCTTTAATGGCCAAAAGCATTTGAATTCTGGCGATTTCATATGGTTCAAGTAGACACATTCTTATTTGATTTTCACTTCGGCCTCAAGATATAGGTCAGGTTACCTCCACTGTACAGCTAGGGAGACTTAAGGATCCCAGAGTGTCACGGGTACACTCCAAGTTACAGAGCCTCTCAGTGCCACAGCTGGGGGTGCCACACTGCCTCCTCATGACTCCAGTGCTCCTGTCCCTCTCAGCCGCTTGCCTGCATTGCCTTGTCACACCACACCTTGGTATACACCAAACGTGTATACACCACGCCCCCTTCGCTGGGCTTCCTAGAAACAGCCTTCTGAACTCCTGAGCTGGGGGCTGGGAGCACCACTGCTGGTGGGGTCCAGTCCTCAGGAGGGAGGGGGCAGCATTTAGGGAGGGAACAGGGCAGGGTGGGGTCTCAGACCCCAGAAAGGGAGATTGTAGAAAGAAAGGCAGGGAGGGAGGCCAAGAGGCTGCCATGTGCTGTGAGAGGAATGAGCTCTGGCTGGGGTTGGCCATGGCGTCCTGGTCTCCACAGACTACGGCGGGAGCAGGTTCCCTGGGTTCAGTTTCCTCTTCTGTAGAACAGTGGGCAGCTTGGACCTGAAGCCTCTCCCAGCTCTGCTCTGCCGTACTCTGTAAATAGCCGGGGTGCTGCAATGCCAGGTGTGACTCAGGACGGTGAACACAGGTTCCCTGGAGGGTCCTGAGTGGTGAAAAGGGGAGAGGCTGTGTTTAGCCCTGGGGCTTCGGAAACTGGGAGCCCGCCTCTTCTAATGTCAGAATCACAGCCTCACCAGTGCTCTCCCTGACCAGCCTGGGGTGGGAGTGTCCTCTGAGCGCAGGGGTCCCTGTGCAGGCCTGTGGGGCTCTGGGGGACGAGGCAAGCAGGCGGCAGTCATCTCTTGCCCATCCAGGGTGGTGTTGGAGCAGCCCTGCCCTGAGCTTCGAACAGGTGCACAACACGGCTGCTGGCGTTCGGGGTGGTAGGTGTGCCGCGGGATCCTGAGGAGGAGGGAGTGGCTCCACACCTGCTTTCTCTCCGCAGCTGCTGAAGCCCTGACCCGGGAATTCTCGGTGCTCAAGATCCGGCCCCTCACGCAGGGAAGCAAGCAGTCAAAGCTCAAAGCCTTGCAGAGGCCAAGTAAGGAAAGCGGATGTCCGTGGATAGGGAGGCTATGTGTGTGTGTGTGCGTATGTGCATGTGTGTGTGAGCGTGTGTGTCTGGTTTGGGCAGGGTCTTCCCCTCTGTTCATTCTTCCCTCTTGACTTCTCTGCTCTTTGGGAGCCCTGGGCTGCAGTAGCCAGTGGGGCTGGGTTTCCCCTCCCTAGCAGGCCTAGGGGGGTCTAGGGCAGGGGTCTCCCTTGGGGAGTGGCATCTGCCAGCTACTGTGCAGGGAGGCCCTCGTGCTCACACCCTCTTCTGGGCACCGCTCAGGGGAAAGCTTGTTCTTTCTTCTGGAGGGCCCTGGAAACCGTATCCCACAGGTCCGGGAAGGGCCTGGGCTTTGGAGGACCCCTAAATGGCTCTGTCAGTTACTTCAGTCGGCCTCAGTGACACTGAGGAAGTCACTCAGTGTGTGAGTTGGTTTCTTCTTCTGTAAAATGAGCAGACTCTTCAGTCTGGAGGATTGAATGAGAGCCTGGCATACCTGCCTGGAGCCCTGAGGGCACACAGAAGGTACCAGATAACCGTTAGCGCCTCCCTTTCCCCTTCCCCCTCCAGAAACCATGGTGGGAGATTTTAGACACGAGTTTTCCATGACTTCAAACTAGCAACTAGTAAAATGGGCCTGCAAGAGGCCTGCCAAGGCCGGCTGTGCTCTCATGGGTGGTTACGTAGCCAAAACCGTCCAAGGTTTCTTGGAACAGTAAGTATCCTGTCCGTAGCTCAGGATATTTGTGAGCTCTGGGTGTTCCATCCTGACTTGATATCCCTCCCAAAGGACCCTAAAAAGCAGGGAGGTGTGCAGGATGAACCCCTCAGCCCCCTCACTGTAGAGAGAGAGAGAAACAAGGGCATGGAGAGGCAACAGGTTTGGGTCAGCATCCCCTGGGGGGCCAGGATCCCTAAGTGGGCCCCCTCGCACAAGCATCCGGCCACACCACAGGCACAAGTGGGCCTAGGCCTCACACATGTCACTTGAGAGGCTGGCTCCGATGGCCTCGACGGCTGCTGTGTTGCTGGGGGCAGCCACGGCCTTGTGTTCAGGTCCCCATCGTGGGGCTTTCCTTCTAGAACTCCTGCGTCTGGTGAAGGAGAGGCCGCAGACAAATGTGACGGTGGCCCGGAGGCTGGTGGCCCGGGCCCTGGGACTCCAACACAAAAAGAAAGAGCGGCCTGCTGTCCGGGGTCCGCTGCCGCCCTGAGGCCTGGAGACCCAGCCGGCCTGGATCTGCGCCCTGATGTAGCTGGTGCCCCAACACCATAAGCCTTCACAGATGCCAGAGCAGCCCCGCGCCACCCTCAAGCTTCACCATGGGGTGGGGTGGGCTTTAGTTTAGTCTCACAAATGGAGAAAAAATAAAAACATTGTTCTAATGTGATCGCTTTGAAATGTGGTCTGTGGGGGACACTAGGGGGTGCTGTTCCACCTTGCAGTGCAGGCCTGTGGCTGCTGAAGGAAGGTCACTTGAGGAGCTTGGCTGGGAGGAACCCCGCTAGGCCTGTAGGGCCTCTGTGCACAGCCTGCCCAGTTTTGGGAGCTGGGTTGCACCTGCTGTGTAGCACCTGCCCACACTCCTTTGGCAGTTCAGGTATCCAGCCCGCTGGCCTGTGCTGTGGGACAGTTCTGGGACCCCTGGGCTGGTCCTGGTGTTACCTGTCAGTGCCGGTTCTTGCAGAAATAAACGTGAACAAAGGCAAGAGGTGAGATCTGAATGTGCGCCGATGCCCTCATCGATTGTGGTTTGGGTGGAGTTGGTGCTAAGGTTGTCCTACATACCCTCTAGTTTGCTGGGCCCTAGCATGCTGTTGACACAAGGGGGAGCCCCTGTCTGGGTGAGTGGCTGGTTTGGGCCGGCCACCCCCACCGCCACTGGGAATGGCTGGGAGCCCCGTCCTGCGAAAGGATGCCCTCTTGCTTTGAGAAGCTGCCTGGTCGCTGTTTAAACCTAGACTTCTCATCCGACCCTAGCACAACTGCTACGCCTCCTGACAAGTTTCAGTAAAAACCACAGGAGTGCAAGAAAGGTTATGACCCCTGTTCACTGCTTTTTGTGATCTTCTTAGACTGCTTCTCCCAGAGGGCAGGAGCTGCCCCTTTTGGAGTCTACTGAAGGAGCCTCCTAGCAGCCACACTGGGCTGGAGGGGATCTGGGGACCCATGTCCACAGAAGGAAAACCATGAATGTATCTGAAGTTCCGCTTCCGGCCACTGAACATAGGAAGTCTGCTGCTCAGGGCCCAGGTGCTGTGGGTCAAAGAAAACACAGACGCATTTCATAAATCTTTTATTCCAAGTTTCAAGTATGTGTAAGTGTCTGTGATGACACATGGTGCTCAGCGAGCGCCCTGTCACCCAGGACCCTGGTTATAGCACCGTTCAATTAAAAACCCACAGAATTGGAACAATAGGAAGATGAGTCACTTACACAGGTGGGTTGGTTTTTCCTTAGATTTGTACTTCCAAAGGCCCAGATGTCCAATATTAAATGCCAATAAACTTGTGTCTCAAAAGTCTGTGAAAATATAATAATAGTATCCTGAAAAACAAGGTCGGGGGGTGTGGAGAGAGAAGCACCAAGTCTGAGCTCACTGAATCAGAAAACACGTGGCACCATTATCTATGTGACTATAATAGACTAGAGGGTTTCCATGGAAGAGAGGTCTAGATATTCAAGTTTGCTGAAAACGACCTAAGAGGAGGAGAAACAGGATTCGGCCTGACCCTCTCTGGGGGCTGATGAGCCCACATTTGTCCACGTGTCACTGGAGAAGAGCACGGCTGCACTGTGTCTGTGGTGAGCTCGGTGGCTTGAATGGGACAAGATGATGACAACCTGTCTGTGGGCCTCGTCCCGGTCAAGGTTGGCTCTCAGTGCTGCTCCAGCAGCTCTGTGGACAAACCCCAGCCCCCAAGGCCTTCTCAGGCCCCAAGGGTCAGGCAGCAGCCCCCGGTGAGTGACGGAAGGGTCCCCTTCCTCCTGAGCTTGGACACGGCTGCAGGGGTCTGGACGGGGTGGGGGCCGGGCTGGGTGAGGGCGCGGTGGCGTTCGTTCAGACTCAGTTGTTGGGGGAAGTCCCACGAAAGATGTGGTGTGGCCTGAAGACAGGAGATGACCACGCAGATTTCTTTATTGCGGGGAGAGCTGGTTGTTTAAGAGCCCGCTGAAGTGCTCAAACTTTTTTTCCGTCTCTTCGCTGAAGGAACCACCTGAAGAGCAAGAATCGGGGGGAGAGAGTGGGCAAAGGAGGTGCTCAGGCCTTGCCTGACCCTGGTGAGTGGGCCTCAGGGGCTCTGCCGGGGTCACCTCTGTGTGCCCTCACAAGGACAGGTGCCAGGCGCTGGCCATCTCTAGGGCTGGGCACATGGCAGGTGCTCTGTCAAAGTTGAGTGAACGAGTGAATAAATATTGCGCCTTTAATTTTAACATTTTGCCAAGAGTGAGGCCCATGACTTCTCCTGCAGAGGAAAAAGCTCTGCCTTCCCTCTTGTTCCCCAAGTCCTATCATCCAAGGAAAAAAGTGTCTTTATTGGACACTAGGAATAACCGTGCTTTGCTAGCTTCCAGCTCTTGACAGAAAAACCTGATAGGCAGAGCCCACAGATTGCTGATGCCCACATTTTTGAGGTCACATGCATGATGAGCCAGTGGCCTTGGCTCCAACCCTTAAATAGCCTTGGGGTCTGCGCTGGGCCGGCCCGGTCCTGTACCACCCTCTCTCCATGGCCGGAGCTGGCTGTAAAAACTCTGTCTCCATCCAGGCCTGTGTGTCTGTGGCTTCCGTCCTGAATGTGGAAATGTGATGCTGGCTGCATTCCTGAGCTCTTTACCCAAATTAGGAAGCTGCCTCTGGGTCCTTGAGAAAGTAGGGCAGCTCCCGCCTGCTTCCTGGAGCGGGGGCAGCCTGGACCTTACCTATGTGGCAGTTGTACATCCAGATGCGGTGGCCGTCATAGCGGCTCCTGCACTTCATGATGTTGTTGGAGTAATCAGATTCTGCAACCTCGAAGTTGGGGTTAATCACAACCTGGGGAGAAGCAGGGCAGAGGAGGCTGCTGGTTCCCTCTGTGGCCACCTCCACCCAGGCCCGGGGCTCTGCGAGACCAGCGACCTCAGGGAAGGGGAGCGTGGCAGGTGCCGGGACCCAAGAAGGGAGTCTGTGGGTCCCAACAAAATCCTTGGGGTGGGGCAGAGATGAGTCAGGGAGCACAGGGAGCATGGCCCGGAGGAGGGAGACCCTGCCCTCTGTCCATGGCGGTGTAACACACACCCCTCTACCCAGGGTGGGCCTTCGGAAGAGGGTCACCCCCTCCTGGGAGTTCTGAGGGAGGCAGGAGTTGGGGTCTGGGGAGACCCCAGAAGAAGATGCTGGAGAAGCAGAAGGGTATGGGGAGGACCTGGCAGTGTGGGCAGCGGGAAGAGGGCTGCCTGGGCACTGGAGATGGGACACTCGTCACAGCCATGTGACTGTGGACACGTCCCTTCCTCTCTCTGTGAAATGACGGGTGGGACCTGGGGATCTGTGTCCCTGCCTGTACTGCTGGGCCAGGGCCTGGCTCTGGGGCTGCTGGAGAAGCCGCATCCTCTCCCTGTCCTTCCACCCCTGCCTCTGCCTCCCCCCAGCTGCAGGGACTTTGCCCAGAACAGCAGGAATAGGAAGGACATATTCTGAGATGGTGTCTGTGAGGGGACAGAAAAGGGGAGGTTCGCGGTGAGGACCCGAGGAGAAAAGTGAAAGGGAGGGGGAGGGAGAAGAGACAACAGACAACAGTGGTGAACAGAGGGGGAGAGGACGCAGATGACAGGCCTTCCCTCAAGGGTCCTGCCACATTTGGAAGGGCTGCGACCCATAGCGTGGGGGCGGGTACAGGCTGCTCGTTCAGGAACATTCTCTAAATTTGGGGACCCAGAAGGGCCTGGACGTGACCCTTTAACAGGCCACTGGGCTTGCCCAAAGAGGTGCTGTGGGAAGCCAAGGCCAGCCTGGCAGCCAGCCCTGTGTTTTGGCTCCGTGGGGCTGTTCTGGGGGCCTGCACCTGGCCCAGCTGGGGCCCTGTCCCTTTAGCTAAGGAGGTACATGCCCCGCTCCGGGGTGGCTTGAGTTTTCTCTTCCACCCAACCATTCTAGCTGCCCCCTCATCCCTGGCCCACACATGGCATGGGGCAAACACAGCTCCACATGCCAAGGCCTCCAGCTGTGCAGGCCCAGGCAGCTCCTCGGCCGCCCAGGCGTCTCCACAGTGCAGCCATGAAGCCGGCTGAGTGCAGCAAGGGCTTGTGTTGGGGGCATGAGAGCCAGTGTGACGTGTGGGGTGGAGGTGAGGCTGGAAATGTGTGTCCCCCACTGTCTCACCCCATTCAACTACTGCAGGCTGAAGTCTCATGAGGGCCTGTGGGAAGTGGCTTTAGGTTTCTGTACATCTATGAATCTAGGAAATGATGAGGAAGAGGATAAAGCAGGGGCCACCAGGAGCCAGGAGGCCCCTTCAGCCCTGCCTCTGAGCTCTGCACAGGCCCCTCTGCGTGGAAGGCCACTTCCTTCTTGCCCAGCTCCCTCCTCCCATCCTTCACAGCACCACTGATGTCTGAAATGAAGGCCAGCACTTGTGTCCCGTGAATCCCCAGGTCGGCGCTTGTAGCGCCTAAAGTTCCATGTCTGTTTTAAGGGGAATATTCTTTTTGATTAATCGGAGGTATTAACATGCCCCAATGAGTCCATTTGCTAATTGTATCATTTAGGGGTTGAGAACACAAAATCAAGAGTTGATATGTCTGGGGTTGTGCGGCTGTGAAAGGAGGGTAATGATGATGCCCCTTCCTTGGGAGATTAAATGAAACAATGGGTTCCCCAGGCTTAGGCAATTCGTAGTAGTTATTAAGTGGATGGCACTGGTCAGAATACAGGGAGATACACACTCACCCGGCAAAATGATAGCAAACCTCAAACAGAAACCACCAGGCACTGTAGACGTGCACATGGCCACGGCTATTCATCTTTTAAAATAAATGACTCTCTGGTTAGACCTCTCCAAGTCTGTGGTTCTGGGCTTGTGGCTGGAAAAGTGCTTGGCTGTCTGCTTTCCAGCCTCTGACACTGCCCAGGAATCCTCTGAAAGCCCCTCTGTGGTGACTTCTCTGAAGGTGTTGTTTCTTCAGAGGGCTGTCTGTAGGTGGGGACTGTGGGCCAGGCCCTGGGCTGGCTGAATGCCCCCTCAGGAAAGCTTTCAAGATGGAATGACACATTTCTGGTCATCCACTTTGCTAGCCAACAGGGCAAGCGGGGAAACGAGATGGGTTGGGATGTAGGAGACAGTGAGAGGCTGAGATAAAGCTTCTGCAGGCGGACGTGCACCCGTGCACCGGCAGACAGACATTAGGGT